CAGCAGGAGGAGGGAGCCCGAGGCCGCTCCCCGAGAGATACGCCCAGTCTGGCAGCCGCTCCTCGCCCGACGCCCCCTCGCAGTCCATCCAGAGCTCGTGCTCGCGCCTTACAGTCAAAAACCCTAATAAGGACGCGCGACTTTGCTCAGGGTACCCTTGCGTCCTTGCTCTTCCTTGCTCTTGCGTCCTTGAGGTTTTCGTCGTCCGCCGCCCCAAAAATCTCAAGTTCGGCTTCCTAGGGTCTTGCGTCCTTATCGCGCGTCCTTAGTGCTGGCCACATGTTCCAAAGGGTGCCCTCGAGGGCGCGAAGTGTCTCGCGCTTCGCGCTTCGCGGTTCGGCTCCGACTCCTCGTCCTCCTCTTTTCTCCCCTGGGAGGCGGCGCGGGAGCGCCAAGCTGTTCGCGCTTCGCGCTTCGCGCAGCGCGAAGCGCGAAGATGGGAGCCCTTGGGAATGTAGTTTTTCACCAGCCGACCTCTCCTGTTCCTCGACCCGCCTCTTCACCTATGCTGCTGTTACGGTCGGGAGCTTTTTTGGTTAGCCTGTCGCTCCGCCGGTTGTGGCCAACCACGCTTCGGCGCGCCACGCTGTCCACTTCCCGGCCCCCCAGCGTCAACGTCCTGAGCTGCTCAGATCTTCCCACCCCGCCGAGCGGAGCGACATGCTATCCGCTTGCAGGGCATAGCGTGTCGCCAGGGCCGCCGCGGCGACACGCTGAGCGAGAGTTCCCGACCGTAGGGTGCGTTGCCGGGGTCGTCTTTATCTCTGGGAAAGAGGGGTGGGTCGGGCGGGGCTAGGACGAGGATCTCTCCATTCCAGGGCGCTCCGGAGTGCTCTCGCTCTCAGAGCGTCCCGGAACGCTCTGAGAAGCGCCCGAGACATTCTCCAGAGCCGCAGGATCTCAGATGATCGTTTTCTTATTCCTTGTTTGGCCGATCGGCGCGGGCCCTCGCCCCCCCCCTCCCCCCCCCCATGGAGTAGATCTTGGCTGTTTTTGGCGCCTGTTTCAGGCAGGTGGAGTCTCCCCCATAGGACGCATTGCTGCAAGCAGTCGCATGAAGCAGAGGTCTGGAGCCAGACCCCCACCCCACTCCCACCCCCCTTCCGCCCGATGTCGAGACGCCGAATAAGAAAACGTTCACCAGAGATTCTCGATTTATCCTCGCCCGAATTTGTCCTCGCCCTGGCTTCGTCTTCGTGGGAGGTGATGATGATGATGATGATGATGATGATGATGATGATGATGATGATGATGACGACGATGATGATGATGATGATGATGATGATGATGAGGGTGCTGCTGCTGCTGATGATGGTGATTCGGATGCTGATGCTGATGCTGCCGCTGCTGATGATGATGATCTTGATGCTGATGTTGTTGATGATGATGTTGATGATGCTCTTGATGATGCTGATGAATCTGGTGAATACGATGATGATGATGAGGTTGATGAGGATGCTGTTGTTGATTATGATAATGATGTTGATGATGATGAGGATGAATCTTATGATGATGATGATGATGCTACTGCTGATGATGCTGATGATGACGCTGCTGACGATGCTGATGCTGATGCTGATGCTGATGATGATGCTGGTGATGATGATGCCGATGATGCTGCTGTTGATGATGCTGCTGCTGATGCTGATGATAGTGGTGATGATGATGCTGATGTTGATGATGATGTTGATGCTGCTGCTGATGATGATGACGATGATGTTGATGTTGATGTTGATGATGATGATGATGATGATCATGATGATGCTGCTGATGATGATGATGATGATGGTGATGGTGATGATGCTGTTGATGATGATGGTGATAATGATGATGATGATGATGATGCTGATGATGCTGATGAGGTTGCTGATGATGATGATGATGCTGATGATGATGATGATGATGATGATGATGATGATGATGATGATGATGATGCTTATTATTATTATTATTATTATTATTATTATTATTATTATTATTATCCGTATTATTATTATTTATGAGGATGCTGCTGCTGATGATGATGCTGCTGCTGCTGATGATGATGATGATGATGATGATGATGATGATGATGATGATGATGATGCTTCTGTTCTCGTGGCGGGCCCAAGCACTGGCGCAGCAGGGGCGCGCCCCGCGGGCGCGCCAGCCACGGGCAGCCGCCTCTCCCGGTGCCCCAGCGGCGCGGGGCCGCCGCGCCTTCCTGGGGGCCGCGGCGCCCCAGGCGCAGGGCTCGTCTCGCTTCCTCCGATTCGATTTGGGTTCGATTCGATTCGATTTTGATTCGATTTCGATTTCGATTCGATTTAGATTTCATTCGGCTTCGATGGCCTCCGATTTCGATTCGATTCGACTCGGGGTTCCGAATTGGATCTTCCGATTTCTCCATGGAGGCCCACCCGCCTGCCGACTTTCCCGCCGATGCGACTTCTCCCGCCTCGGCCCGACTGATCGATCCGATCCTGGGCTCTCCCGCAGGCGCAGGCCGGGGCACGGCGGCATGGCGCCCCGCCTGGCGCCGCGCTCGGCGGCGGCCGGCCCGGCGGCCGCCTCTGCGGCCTCGGCGCCACCGTGTCCCGGGCGCCCGCCGTGTGTGGAACCCTCGGGCAGTGAAAAAGTCATGACGGGAGGTTTTCCCATATTTTCGGCCTCTGGAGGCCCTCGCGGGCTCTCGGGATCGTAACAAAACGACTCAGGACGAAAAACCGGTCCCGGGAAGTGGGTCGAGACGTCTGAGGGTCGACGTCACGAAGAAATCATGACGTCGGGGGTCTGGGTGTGTTGAAGCCTTAGAGCCAGGCGTCTCCCTGTTGTCGGGCCGGGCGTTTTTTCGCCTGCTGTCGTGCCCTGCGGGCCCTCGCAGAGCGATCATCCGGCTCGAGAAGTGGGGCAGAGAGATGGGGTCGAAGTAGGGCTCCGGTCGTGATTCTTGTGCGATGTCGCACTGTTTTTTCCGCGACGTCGGGTCTCCAGGAACGTGTGTTGTTTTTCCCCATATCCTAAGTATGGGGTTCTTGTTATTCCCCATATCCTAAGTATGGGGTTCTTGTTATTGGCCGACCGCGCCGGATGAACCTCCTCCTTCTCCTCACCTCCTCCCCCTCCACCCCACTCACTCATCACTCAGACTCACTCATCACTCAGACCCAATCATCACTCAGACTCACTCATCACTCAGACTCACTCATCACTCGGACTCAGTCGTGACTCAGACTCATCACTCATCACTCAGACTCACTCATCACTCAGACTCACTCATCACTCAGACTCACTCGTACTTGTACTCATACATTCACTACACTCACTCAGGTCCACTCATCGGATGACTCACACACACTGATGTTGAGGATGTCTCAGGCGATTCTGTGGCTTCAGCACTCCTAAGGGGAGCGGCGGGGGGGTATTGCACTCGGCCCCTTTCGCAGGATTTTGTGGGGATGTCTCGAGCGGTTTGCTTGTTTTCTGTCCCAGCATCCTTCGCTTTCGGAGCAGATTTGGAGGATGTCTCGAGCGAGGCGCTCATTTTCACGTTCCTAAGGGGAGCGGCGGGGGGGTATTGCACTCGGCCCCTATCGCGGGATTTCGTGGGGATGTCTCGAGCGATTTGAATGTTTTCTGTGCCAACATCCTTCGCTTTCGGAGCAGATTTGGAGGATGTCTCGAGCGAGGCGCTCATTTTCACGTTCCTAAGGGGAGCGGCGGGGGGGTATTGCACTCGGCCCCTTTCGCGGGATTTTGTGGGGATGTCTCGAGCGGTTTGCCTGTTTTCTGTGCCAGCATCCTTCGCTTTCGGAGCAGATTTGGAGGATGTCTCGAGCGAGGCGCTCATTTTCACCCCCCAGGTGGGCCAGATTTTGAGGATGTCTCGATCGGTTTGCTTGTTTTGGTGGCCAGGCTCGTGGGCGCAGATTCTTCTCAGGATGCCACAGGAGGCTCCAACAGGCTCCAGGAGGCCCCAGGAGACCACATGAGGTCCCAGGAGGCATCAGGAGGCCACAGAAAGACTCAAGAGGCCACAGGATGTCCCAAGAGGCTCCAGGAGGCCCCAGGAAGCTCCAGAAGGCCTCAGGAAACCACAGGAGGCCCCAGGAGGCAACAGGAAGCGCCAGGAGGCCTCGGAAGGCAACAGGAGGCCCCGAGAGGCCCCAGGAGCAGGAGGCCTCAGAAGGCAACAGGAGTGGCTCCAATCCCATGTGTTTTACGTATGCTCCTATCGATTGGGCCTCACCTGGAGCACGATTCTTTGATGTTATACGTATGTTTCTATAGATTGTCCTTCTCCTGTGTACACAATCCTAACTGTTTTACTTATGTTCCTATATATTGGGCCTCTCCTGGGGCACGAGTCCTTGGTGTTTTACGCGTGTTCCTATATATTGCCCTTCTCCTGTGGCTCTAATCCGCAATGTTTTATGTACGTCTGTTGCTATATATTGCGCCTCTCTTGGGGCACGAAACCTCCCTAGGAGGTCCCAGGAGGCCCCAAGAGGCTCCTGGAGACCCCAGGAAGCCCCAGTAGGTTTCAGGAGGCCCCAGGAGGCCCCAGGCTCATGCACAAAGACGCGCTCGTACTACTGAGGCTCATTCACATTCGAATTCATTCGCAGTTAGATTATGTCCAGACCGTCACAACTGAAGCCCGTGTACATTCGAAAGCTCTTGCGCCTAGACATTCACGGCGGACAGGTCCATGCGAATAGATGCACATATGGGGAGCTCCACGCAGTGAATAATTGGCGGACCGCGCCGGAGGAGAGAGAGAGAGAGAGAGAGAGAACACACCACTCCTCTCACTCAGACCCACTCACTCATCACTCAGACTCACTCATCACTCAGACCCACTCATCACCCAGGCTCACTCATCACTCAGACTCACTCGTACTTGTACTCATACATTCACTACACTCACTCAGGTCCACTCATCGGATGACTCACACACACTGATGTTGAGGATGTCTCAGGCGATTCTATGGCTTCAGCACTCCAAAGGGGAGCGGCGGGGGGGTATTGCACTCGGCCCTTTTCGCAGGATTTTGTGGGGATGTCTCAGGCGGTTTGGCCATCTTCTCTTCCAACATGTTTCGCTTTCGGAGCAGATTTGGAGGATGTCTCAGGCGATTCGCTGGTTTCAGCACTCCTAAGGGGAGCGGCGGGGGGGTATTGCACTCGGCCCCTTTCGCGGGATTTTGTGGGGATGTCTCAGGCGGTTTGGCCATTTTCTCTTCCAACATGTTTCGCTTTCGGAGCAGATTTGGAGGATGTCTCAGGCGATTCGCTTGTTTCAGCACTCTAAGGGGAGCGTCGGGGGGGTATTTCACTTGGCCCCTTTCGCGGGATTTTGTGGGGACGTCTCAGGCGGTTTGGCCATTTTCTCTTCCAACATGTTTCGCTTTCGGAGCAGATTTGGATGATGTCTCAGGCGATTCGCTGGTTTCAGCACTCTGAGGGGAGCGGCGGGGGGTATTGCACTCGGCCCCTTTCGCGGGATTTTGTGGGGATGTCTCAGGCGGTTTGGCGATTTTCTCTTCCAACATGTTTCGCTTTCGGAGCAGATTTGGAGGACGTTCGCGCCCAGTTTGCGGGGATGTCTCAGGCGGTTTGGCCGTTATGATGCTGGGCATCTGTCGTTTTCGGAGCAGTTTTGGGAGGATGTCTCAGGCGATTTGCTGGTTTCAGCACTCCCAAGGAGGAGGAGGAGGAGGAGGAGGAGGAGGAGGAGGAGGAGGAGGAGGAGGAGGAGGAGGAGGAAGAGAAGAGGAAACGAGGAGGAGGAGGGAGGGAGGAGAGGGAGGATAGGAGGAGCAGAAGCGGACGATGATGATGATGATGATGATGATGATGATGATGATGATGATGATGATGATGATGATGATGATGACTGATGATGATGATGATGATGATGATGATGATGATGATGATGATGATGATGATGATGATGATGATGATGATGATGATGATGATGATGATGATGATGATGATGATGATGATGATGATGATGATGATGATGATGATGATGATGATGATGATGATGATGATGCTGCTGCTGCTGATGATGATGATGATGATGGTGATGATGATGATGATGATGATGATGATGATGATGATGATGATGATTGATGCTGATGATGATGATGATGAGGAGGAGGAGGAGGAAGAGGACGTGGGCAATTCGAGTAGCCAGGGCCAGACGATCGAGGTTCGATGCTCCAAGGCTTTAGGTTTTACTCAAACGCTTCCGCCTCATTCTCCTTCGCTCTCCGCTCTCCTTCACTCTTCTGCATTCATACTCACTCATACTCAGACTCAGTCACACGCAGGCTCACTCGCACTTAGGCTCGCTCATATCCGTACTTCAACTTACTCACACTCAGACTCACGCTCAGAACCACTCATACTCAGACTCGCTCCTGCTCAGACTCATCATCCTTCGGTCCGTTCAAACGCAGACCGACTCACACTCAGACTGCCTCACATCCATACCCAATCACACTCGGCTCACTCGCACTCAGATTCATTAGCACACACTTTTTCTCACACTCAGACCCACTCAAGCCCAGACTCACTCATGCTCAGATTCATCATGCTACGATCCGCTCAATCACAGACTGGCTCACACTCAGATTCGTCCATGCTCAGACCCACTCGCACACAGACGCACTCGCGCTCATATTTACTCACACGCATACCCATTCAAACCCAGGCTCAATCGCACCCAGATTAGCTCACACTCAGATCAGTCGCTCTCAGATTTGCTATTGGTCGCACCCATGCTTGCAGACTGTGGTAATGTCTCGAGCGAGCGGTTCGCCCTCGCACACAGGCGTTCATTGACAGATATCAATAGAAAAACGTACCAAGATAGTGAGATGCACATATGGGGAGCCCCGCGTCGAGTAATTTGATCCTCTGTCGCGCAACGGTCGTTTACCCGGCCCCCACCCTCCCCAGGTGACGGTATCGATCGCACGCAGGGGGGCTGGGGGCCTGGATTCCCCCCCCCCCACATGCATGCTGGTGCTCGTGCGCGAGCTACTGCGATCGCAGCGCACCCCCGCCCCGACGTGCCCCACCCCGCCCAAGCGTCACCGTTACCCGGACCCCCATTTCCCCCCCCGGAGTATCCGCTGTTGCCGGAAACATGAACGAAACAATCTCTGGGTGCTGTGGGATTCCCAGGTTCCAATCTGTTCTGGGCGCCTTCCGACTTCAAGGGTCGAGCGGCCCTCCCGCCTCCTTCCTCTTCAGGGGGTGGCGGGCGTTTACGGCGTTCCAATTTTTTGGCGCCGTCGGATCAGGGGGCGGGTGGCGGGAAGGTGGCAGGGCATCGTCGCCATGGGGAGAAAGGGCCCCGAGGGACACGGGTCCCGAGGTGTCTCGCCGTCTGCGGGCGCTCGGGGCCCTCCACGGGCCCCAGGACTGTCAGACAACAATTCTGACAAGCTCGTCCTGGGATCGGCGTCGCCCCAATCTGCCAATACTATGGGTGCGTCGCCCCCTTCAGGGCCGACGCGAGCA